AAACAGAAAACACATTTGAAGGTCTTCATGTTCAAACAAATTGCTTTCTGGACTACATCATGAAAGATACAAAAATTGTTTTTGAGGTTGTGCATTTACTACAGCTTGAAATTTGCCAACCGTGAACTTTCCAACACTAAAAAGAAGAACAGAAAATATTTGTAGGTAGCACATCTTTAACCAACTAACTTAACTTTTATTTATAACTTAACTTTTATTTAACTTAACTTTTATTATTTTTTTTTTTCTTAACTTTACTTTTATTTTTTAACTAACTTTTAATTAACTATATCAAAACTAATTACGGGGAGCACCTCGCATGGGACTTTTAGTGTCCCGTTTGTGCTTTTCCGTTTGAGTGTATCTACTAATTTGTGATTTGTGACGTGTGTTTTGTCTTTCGTTTGTCAAGTTTTTATCTTTGTACCTGATATAGTACGTATGTAGATTGCTCAATAAATTCATTAAATAAATAAATAAATATAAACCATGTGCACTGGACAATATGCTGCGTTGCCAAAACATTTTACTTAACAGTAACTTCTACAAGCTATATTGCTTAAAATCTTTTACACCAAAGTACATAAGAACTGAACTGTAAGATACAAGGTTGGTGTTAAATCTAATGTTGATGGTAATCATACACAGGAGAAATTACTAAGATGTTGTTACACTGAGTAAATCTACACCAGGCAAGCTGAAAAATCAACTTGACCACAGTAAGAATGCAGCCCACAACCTCTGGTTTACAAGACCAATACATTCCAGACTGAGCTACACAGTTTGAATGTGCAATATTTTATTATTTTGGAGCTTATTAGTCTTGCTCCTTCAATATTCTTATCTCTACGATGGTAAACCTTAAACAATGCTGATGGTAATTGAAAACAGGTGAAATCATTAATTAAGATGGTGTTTGCTGAGTAAATCTACATGAGATTGGTGTGTTGCAATTTTGGGTCATGAACTGTAACTTCTGGCAAGTTAGTCTGCTCCACCATCAATTGCTTGATACAGATGTGAACAAATATCTTACTCATTACTGTTATCCAGCAATCAAAGTTTAATATCAAAGTTACAAATTATAAACCAGTTCTGGTGAAAATGGATTCTACTCGCGCAGTTTACTTAGTTTAGTCCAAAAACTTTTTGTTAATTACGAAATGAAGCCCAGTACAAAGACATCACATCCCCTTTCACTGATCAGGTATATAATTTAGTACGAATAGTAGTACGAATTATAAAGATATTCACAGTATAATATGCGCCTAAAATTTAAAAAATTCAACCTACTGCGTTCTAAAAACAAGACATGACGCATTTGTCTTTAAGCTAAATTGAATAGTAGTTGCAATAGTTTCAAGCTACACTCAGAAAAATAACATAATGCGTATATATCCATCGGTGCCAAAACAGCACATACAGTTTGCAATGCGTTTAAAATGACAATTTTAGCATCATTCAATAAGCTTTTATTATAATAAAATGAATAATCTACCTTTCTTTAGTACGTCCTGAAAATTTCAATGACATCCACGATAAAATAACGACGATATACCCATTTAAAGTTATGAAATACAAGTTTCGCCATATTAGTTTATAATGTTTTGGACCAGAGTTGGTTGCTTTCAACATGGCGGCCAAGATCCGGAAGTAACTTGCGCCGGCACAAAAACTTCAAAGGTTCCGACTCGAGTGAAGCTTCTGCCTATTTCTATTTTGTGGTTCAGAGCAGGCTAAATTTTAGGCAGGAATTTAGGCGGGAATTTCCGGTTTCGGTCGTTTCCGGTCGTTTCCGGATTCGGTCGTTTCGGTTTCCGTTCTTTACAGAGACCCGTGATACATGGCCAATAAGGAGCTGTAGAATCCATTTCTGGCATTTCCAGAGTCACGCGATACAAGCGTAGCATTGTTTTGACGATTTTTCGTCGACGGTATTTCCGGTTGGGATTATCGCAAATTCGGAGCAGAAATGTAAAATTCGGCACTAAAAGTCACACTTTAAAGATAGAAGCTTGAAAATAACACTATACATGTTATTTTAAATCTTTAATTCATGAAGAATATCGCAATGTGCATACGTCTCAGGGGGCCGAAGTTATATTCGGCGAAAGGTATGTTTATGTTTTTACGATTTGTTGTTAAAATGCGTAATCTGATCACATACGATCTCGCTTTACTTTCAAAGCTCATAAATCGCTATAATGTTGCCAATGACTAAAACTATTGCTACGAATGAGGAGATCTAGTTACACTGATTCGAATGGTGGTATTTTTGTCCTCATAACATTCAATGCACCGAAGATATGAAATATCAAAGCGCATTGCTTCGAGGCAATGATTGGGTCATGTCGAGAAAGAGTTAATTAAAGGAAATTTGACCAAATTTTAACGAAAAGAATAATATGACTAACCTCGAGGCTGTTGCAAACAAATGAATTTCGAGAAGACAAGTTTTCCCGCGCTTTTATAATTTTAAACACTGTGGTAGAAAAAACTGTATTAATGTGCCAAATTCTTTTCATTATTCTGTCATATCGCTTGTCGTACGTATGTTTGAAATTGATAAAACATGATAAACATCTGATTCGCAACTGTATTAGATCTAGGTTCCTGTCCAATATCGTAAAATATTGGATCGGCACGTGACCCTCTCAACGATTATTGATTGGTTAAGTGCGCGTATAATAATATGTTTATTCAATCTTTCCAACTTGTAAAATCCTTTCCCTCGCTTTTCCTTGAAGAATTAAAACAACTTATTGTAAATTAAAGTATTTTCTCCGAAACTCGAGAGTCGATCTGCTGTGGAGCCAAACCGTTAAAATTTGAATTTTTCGAACTTCGTTACTAACCGCACCTCTTGTTAAAATATTTCTCCTCAACCCTCCTGATCTATTAACGTGCAATTAATAGATCAGGAGGATTGCGGAGAAGTATTTTAACAAGAGGTGCGGTTATGAACGGTGGCTCCAGAGCAGATTGACTCACGAGTTTGGAGAAAGTACTTTAATTCACATTAAGTTGTTTTAATTTTCAAGGAAAAGCGAGAGAACTGGATTTTACAAGTTGGAAAGATTGGATAAACATAAATATGTATAGCCACGGCTTTAGAAGCGTTTGGCAATATTTTATCGGCGAATTTTGTTGAAATTTAGGTCTTGCCCACGTTCGCCCGGCGTCACAGCTACCTACCTTTGCGTTATTGATAGTGGGTAATATTAGATTATATACAGTATATAGGCCGAGTTTAACGAAATGGCCTGAAAATCGACGAAAGTGAAGTAAATGAGACAGTAAATTACAAGTAAGTCCACCAATATTTTGAATCATATTAAATCGCATTCCCATGATGTTTTTATATCATTATATCAAACTAAAACCACCTCCAAATAACATATGGAATACATAAAGGAAACTAAGTAAATTATCCTTTATAATTTAAAGTTAATTTTAATCCAAAATATAATAAAATAAAAAATAAATAAATATCCACACAGAGCCTGGGCCATCTGTGCTCGAATTACAAAAAATTGAAAGTAACTTTTTAAAAACTAGTTGAAAAAATCGTGAAGTAACTTGTAACGGTAACTAGTTACAATTTTTACGTGTACCTCTTACCGGTAACTCGTTTCTTTCACGAGCATGTAACTGCAACTAGTAACCTTTAATAAGTAACTTTTTTATAGCACTAATTCTTGAACGGACTGTGCCGCCAATAATATTGATAATAATATTGCCCTCTGAATATTGCCAATAATAATGATAGGGATTGATAGGGATCGATAGGGATACAACTGCCCGAAAACACAAGGAGAATGTCGATGTTTCGAGCCCTTCAGGCTATTAACTTCCCGACAAAGGGCATTTCGCTCGAAACGTCAAAGTTCTCCTTGTATTTTTTAGGTAGTTGCATCCCTGTCAATCTGAAGCTTTCTCAACGCGAGTATTGCAGTAGTCTGAAGAACTTCGGTGTACATCTTCAGTAGTCTGAGAACTTGGCGTACATCTGCTACGCAACACAAATCCTGAACCGCCTGCTTTGTTGTAGCCCTGAAGACCAATTTTCAACAAACGATTTTGTAACAACACAACAGTCATCTGGTATGGGATAAATATCTATTATTTTCATTATTTTGAAACCTTTAGTTACAATAATTACATTTATAATACACGACTATGTTTTCCATTATGTTACGTCTGTCGCATAAATTGATCGCAGCCTTACAATAAATTTTTAAATAAATATTTGAATGATATCATTGCATTTGCTACATATACCTAATGTATTCATTTTCTACATCAGCTGGGAAAGGTTGTATAAAAGGCTTAACTACTTTTTAACTACCCATTTTGTAGTTAAATTATATTTAACTCTCAAATACGCGATTCAGATTGGCTAACTTTTGCACTAACTGCATGCAGTTAACTTTAACGACTTTTTTATACAACCGTCCCCAGGATTTGAACAAACTCGACGATGCGAAAAAACAAACGTAGTTTGACGCCATGCCCTGACTTGAAAATAAACTGGATAGAGAAACCCATTATTTATGAAGCCAGTTTTCATTTTGAACCTTGGGTCAAAAACCCATGTACGATATACATTGCTTGGTAAGGATCCACTTGAACGACATTTGCAAGTGATAAAACTCGACACTTCTCCATTGAGGACACTAATTTTGCCTTCCTACATGAACGATATCTCATTAGGAATGAACAACATCTTGTATCTCATTTGTGTTTTTATTCAAGTGACTTCAACATTTTATACGGACGTTGGACTATGTACTATAAAAAAACAAAATAAGAGGCTAAATATAAGATCATGTAGCATCAGCCGCTAAAAAAAAGGTACAAATATCTGAGTTCGACTCTGGGATAATTTGAAAAACACGGCACTCGTTTTATTGGGAATATAATTATATGGAAAATGTTATACATGGCAAGCACAACAGAATGTATTGTGCCTAAAAATTGAAATATGGGAATCCTAGAAAACACGGGGAAACAATCTCAGGGCTGCTTATGAAAGAGGTTGTACGTGATATCTGTTCAGTATTATTGGGAATTTTTATTGAACGATCCGAGCTTGTCCCAAGAAATTCTTTCCTGGGGAATTTATATGTTCTATGGCTTTAATTCAAGTTCTTGTCAAAGGATGTTACACTGGATCAACGGGGAATGGACCTTACTGCATGGTCTTCTCTGAAGAACAGTTTCGATCGAACTGACAGAACTATAATTTAAAATAAAAATATTTCTCTTGCTAACCGGTTCCCTGGTTTTCATGTCAATTTGTGGCATGTTTTTCTATAGCTAAGTACGAGCATGGATGCACCTACCTCCTGATGTTTCTGCGCCAATTGCGTCTGTGACGTCGTCCACCATCCAATAGCATTTTGGAGAAGTTCCACTTCTGGATTTAGAAAAATCTACAAGTGATAAGTAAATTGTAATGTTTTGGACATTTTAATTAATTTCTATCAAGAGAACTGGATAATTTCGGGATAAAATATTCAAGTTTGTAGTAAGGACCTAAAGTATGATTCTGTGCATGGCTAAAATGTTTAAACAAAATTTAATATTTTGACACGACATGTTACTTTAAATTTTTAAACAAAATTTAATATTTTGACACGACATGTTACTTTAATGGAACACTCGTAAAGGTATTAAGTAGGTATCGACGTTGTACACGCTACGACTTGTCGTACACGCTACGACGTATCGTGTACGATTCGTATTCTGGAGTAAGAAAATTACTGCTGACATCACAATTCCTCTTCGTTTAGCCACAGATTAAGTATACACCAGATGTGTAACTTAATAGGACTTCGTCACTTCGTATCCTCACACTTGCTAGCAAAATGGCGTCCTGAAAAACACGAACTTTTGCATTTTATTGTGGCTTTTTTGGATCGACATTTATGGATTAAACAATCACTGAATGTTTAAAGTTGTTGAAAGCAATTAAAGTTGTAGAAAAGGTGTTGAAAACAATAACGTATTACCAAATGACGATTAATCACGCGAGCGACACTTGCTAGGAAGATGGCGACCATAGGACAACTTTTTTACTGAAATTACACATCTGTCCATACTTAATCTATGGTTTAGGCACAGCGAATTTGAAATGCAACTATTTTACGCGTGCTTATTCGATACATACACCAGAATACGAATAGTACACGACAAATCGCGGTGTGCAAACGTACCTTAAGGTATGTAACGTGCCAGTCGTTGTTTGTTTGAAATATGTTATTTTAAACTGCTATAATAGAGCTTCGTCTATGGGCTCAAAATAAAATTTACAAATTTATCAAACATTTGCCTTATAAAGTTAAATAGCCAGTAGAAAGGCGTCTCGAAATTTAGAGGCCCGAAACCAGACCATGTGCATGTTGTTCACTTTAGTCAAGCTCTTCGTAAGATCAAAGATGGAACGTCATCGGCCTCTAAACGTCCTAGCAAATACGAACACCTCATCTTTCAACATTAAACATGAATGCTTTTCAAATGACTTTGATTGCATTGCATGTTTTGATATTTTGGACTTTTGGTAATGAGCCACGTACCTGATAAAACAATGTGCGGAACAACGCTAATAAAAGATTTACATTGATCAGATTGTTTAATATCACTTTCATCAGGCAGTAATTCTTGTTGCTCTTCTTTGTCTTTTATATTGTCCTGACATAATTTATCGTCCATATTTGTTTCTTGATTTAAATATCGCTGTTCTGGTTTTAGTGCGCCGCATGGAGCTTTTAATGTTTTTAGTTCTCGCTCAAGAAAGCTGTTTGTTTTCCCCAAGATTTCTTGTTGTTCCTCCCACTCTTTGATCTCATATAGACAATCTTCACAAGTAGCTTGAGGGACGTCCTGAAATTCTCGACTGTTTTCTCGTGATAGTGTTGTCATCAAATCATCTTCAAACACGCCTCCTGTGGTATCCTGGAAACAGAAAATAGATTATCATTATTACGTAGCGAGAGATCAAGAGGGACGAATTCTGGAATGAAGAATTCTGGAGTTACAGGTCAACTGCAAAACCATGTGGAGGGAGTGGGGTCATGCAACTCTAAAAATAGTTCCCGCTAGTTGAAGTTTGATTTCAGGACCTATTTTTTATAAACATATATTTTTCATAAAGACGTTTACCCAAGAGCTATCAAGCTCATCGCTCTCGTGTCTAATAGTTTTGGTCACTTTTATGGCTCCTGCACACCTTTGGGTACCCCTATTCAAAGATTGGCTACCTCCACAAAAATAAAATTTACAGACATGTTTCCTGTTAGTGGAAACATCGAACTGCATGCAATGTAGTTCAGACACCAACCAAGGCAGCTTACCTCATCCTGGAAATCCAGCCTCCCGCTGTTATTCTTTGAACCATGTTTTACAGTCAGAATGTTATCAGGAATGTTGTCCTATAAAAAGAAAATATAAAATATATAGAGTTCAAGAGAATAACGAGGTAAACTATGTCTTAAAATATAATAAATATTTAAAGTTTGTGGGTTCACGGCACCATGCATGTATAATATCAGTCATGTTTTCACTCGCTACTCTAGTTTTAGTATATGAATTCAAAGTCCAGTCGAATTGCATTCACGAGCCAACATTTCGACACTCCAGTCTAGTGTTTTCAAGTATTAGCAATTGTATCAGCACTAAGCACAGCCATATTGTATTCACCCACGTTCATTGCAAAAAGTAACTAACCATATTTTCATCACTATCATGATAAATAGAGCTCATTCCTCTCGGTCTCATGGTGTCACTATCTCGTTTTATTTCCATCAATCGTCTGTCAATATATGGTGATAGTGAATGTGTAGAACTGTTCGTTCGTTTCAGAGTGTTTTCTCCAACTAGAAGAAAATAAATTTATTTTCACAAAATTATGTACATTTTCTACAACCAGAGAAATTCAGTAAACGACCTTTATACAAAATCAATATCATACAATAAACCTCATTTACCTGTTGGACAACTTTCAGATTTGCTATCTTGAAGCTTCATAGGAGAAACAGACCAGAGCTAAGATAAAAACAGGAAGAACCGTTACCACATCAATCTACATTTCCTGCATTTATTGGCGTTTGAAAATCGCACAACAACTACCAGTAGTTTTAAGTTGAAATCATGGATTCGAAATTTGTTTCAAAATTATGAAAAGCATTCTTTTTAATTGAAATTAGTGAGCGTGGTGGAGGAATTATGATCCAGTTCTACTATAGAACTGAATTGAATAACTCTAAAATGATTAAAAAATTATTAAATTTACTTGATTATATAAGAAAATGAAATGATACCACAAAACCTCAATCCGATACAAGATTCCTGTTTTCAGACTGATTATGAGAATTTGTTAAATCATTGCTTATTATTTGACGCGTGCGATCAAGTTACGCCAAACTTACTCTAACATCTTTAGTGATGAAATTTCAGGTGGGAAACACCAGTGAAAAAACTTACCCAACTATTAAATGTACTTCGTCGTTGTTCTTTTTTCCCGGCAGTGGCAGTGGCAGTAGAATGAGTTGGTGAGCGAGATTCAACGTTAGCCACTGCACATAAAACTTGATAATATTGTTGCCGGATCTAAAAGAAATATGACATGATAAACATTGCTCATATTCTTAGCTCAGACTGAAAATTGCCTTGTTGCAAATTTACATTGGTATATTTGAACACTACAGAGAAAATCTGTCGAGAAATCGATTCTCCTAAATTCTTTGTATTGATTTGCATTGTTGTCAGTCAGGTCAAATTGATAATATTTAAATATTCATGCATGGTTGTTACATTTTCAGGAATTTGTTTCAGATGTTTTCTTGCGAATTTTTAAAGTATTCGTAGTTCGTAAAGAACTAAATTATGCAGTACATAGCGTTATAATAAAAATAACAAACCCAGCATACATAAAGTAGCTAGACCATTTTCAATTAATACCTTTTCATCCAAAAGACAGTGGAACACAAAAATAAATAAACCCTAAAATATAAAAAAAATATTGTAGAACATAGGTCTAGAGGATGTACATGCATGTGTAAATCTAGACGATGGACGTGCATGGTAAATCATATCGGCTAAAAATAGAACACCTAAACAACACAATAGTATATATTACATAACACTTCATTAAAATTCTGATAATTTAATTGCCTGATTATGATCACGTGATATGGAATAAAATTTACCAATTTGGTGAGTGTGCTATTGCACACTCAGCCGTGCATTTTGTAGAATACGTTTTGTCCATTTGGTTTTCATTCAATTTCATCCGTCAAAGTCTTAATTGTATCCTATTTGTAGATCATGTAACCCAAATTTTCAATCATTTGTGCGAAGCAAAATGGACTGTCGTCGCTGACCAAATTTATCGCGGACGCTTTCTTTTTGCCAGCAAAAATTGTGAAAACAACAAAAACACAGATTTCGCTAGCTTGTATCTCGTACTGCAGTAGAGGAAAAATAAAATAAAGATAGCAGACGTAATTAACGTTAATAAACCTTAATGAAGACCTGCCACAATTATTTGTCGCAATCGGGATATTAGCTGTCAAGAATTCGTCCCTTAAAAATGGCCGAAAATAAAGTTTCTTACAAAATGTGTGTTTTTGATGGCAAATGTTGTCATGTTGCAGGTTATACTTATGCCCATTGCTTATGCCTACAAAATCTCGCTGTTTTACATTAAATTTCAAAGCATTTTTAAGTCGGTGTTAAATTTCTTGGCTTTGTAATAAATATAGAAGTGTTTTTATTTTTTGTTTGAATTTCACATTTTATTGAAGCTATCAGACGACATCTTAAAAGGAAATTTTTTGCCCTGTTTTGTTTTGCACTGAAATAATCGATATTAATAATTTACATTGTAAAACTTGTGGCAATAGAGGAAATCAAAGTATTACTGCAACATTTTTGTCAGTTAATCCAATTTTTGTGGCCTTAATTAAACAGCCGCTGCAAAATTGTCTTTCGAGGCTTCGTTCATGCTGTTTATGTTTTTTTTTAAATCAAGAGCAGTTTTCGCGCATACTCAGACAAATTTCCCACCCGCTATTTCTTACCACAATGTTAAGTTATTTGAATGGCATTATTGCTGCATTAATTGTTCACTCAAACATTTTTTACTCTTACATTATAGGTATGTATTTACTTCAATAAAAAATCGTTTTGGTTGAATGTTTTCATTCGTGCAATAGTTTTTACCTTATAAAAATATTTGTACGTATCATTGCACTTATAAACATTCATTACTTTTATAATACATGCTCACCTGAAACACATTACAAATATTAAATATATACGCCACAGCAACGGAATCACTGTTCAAGAAGAACACACCAAACACCCACGTGACTCCAAGTAAACACGTGACTATGGCGGCACCTTTCGCCCAATACCTGGAAATAGAAATATTTATTAGAGTGTGGGGCTTCGGTGGCGAAGTGGTTAGCGCACTTGCCTTTCACCTCTAAGGCGGCAGGTTCGAATCTCAGTGAGAACTTCTCAATGTGACTCGAACCCAGGTCTCATGTAAAAAGAGTAAAAGTCAACGCTCTGCCGAAAGTCGTGGGTTTTCTCCGGGTACTCCGTGTTTCCTCCCACAGGGAAAGTTGACATGGGTGGGTTAGGCACATAGGTTTCCAGAGGACCACAGAGTCATCAGTATTCGTACTGTCAAGTGTCATCCTCTATAAATAAAGTCTCTCTCTCAAAGTCATCAGAGAAATTCAAAGTAACTTACATGCGTGAGTGGGTAAGTGTTCCTTCGACACATGTTCCCTTCACGTTATAGTTAGAGAGCTAATTATCTCGTTCGCTAAGGACGTCCCTAATCTTCGACCATTGTTTATTAAAGATCACTGTATGTCCCCAGTTTTATCAGCAAAGGTTCTTGGTCTGTACTTTTCTTCTGATCTTAGTTGGAACTTACATGTTGAACACATAGTATACAAGGCATCAAAGAGACTTTTTTTTCTCCGAGTGCTTAAACGCAGCGGTCTTGGAGGGAGTTCTCTAATTCAAGTCTATACCACATGTATACGACCTGTGCTTGAATATGCATGCCAGGTTTGGAACTTAAACTCCCCTGACTATTTAAAGGAAGAAATCGAAAGAATTCAGAAGCGAGCCCTACGAATAATATGTCCTGACCTGTCATACCGCAAAGCCTTGGAAGTTCATGAATTATCGTTGCTCTCTCAAAGACGAAATAATTTATGTAAATCCTATTTTAAGAAACTTCTCAACGCGGAAAATAAATTGAATGAACTTATCCCTAATAAACGCGAGGACTTACGTACTTACAATCTACGTAGCGATCAGCATATTAACTTAATTAATTGTAAGACTACAAGATTTAGTAAAAGTTTTATTCCTTCTAGTATCGTATCATATAATGATTCATTTTAATTGTAATATAAATTTTAGTTTTAATATACCGTATATTACTATATGTATTAGTTTTACCATGTATTTTAAATGTCAACTCTGTACAATTCAGCTCTTAGCTGCCATTCAGATTTTGTAATAAATTCAATTCAATTCAATAGCGTTGCACCGGAATCGCAGGGACGCAGGTTCGATTCCTACCAGAGAGCCGATAGTTGCATTTTTCGCAACTTCTCCTGGTTAGGTCTAATAAATGTATAAAATTTCCATCTACAAATCCTCCAAAATCCTGATATTTACCCTTATTGTACACGTCGAGTATTGCAAATTGCATGCATGCATGCATGCATGCATGCATGCACGGTCAATATTTTCTCCTCATGAGTTTCTTCGAGAACTTCCGGTGTTTAATTCTCGATTCATAAGAACACGTTTTCCTGGCCAGAAATCTGATAAGTACCCTGCTCGCAGCCCCCACCAGAAAATTTGAAACCGACGAAATTTCGGTCTGCGAGCTGGCTATCTGACAAGTTGACTGCAAATCAAGAGAGACACATCTCAAGAAACCAGAAAACTTTCTCTCCATTTCATTTATTTCCAGGTTCTTAGGTGAAGTTGCTCTTCGTAAGCACAAGCAATAAAACTTGTCTTAGAAAACATATCAAGGAAAACTCAAACTAAACATTCTGGCAAAATATGCGCTATAGATCGTCATGCAATGACCTCATCTTTATTGACTGATTTACTGCAGTCAAGGTTACCAGCCTGCGACAAAATGCAAATCGATAGACGAACAGAAATCAGGTTACTCAGTTAAGATGGCCATGAACGCCTCGATTCAACAAGTAATTAATAAATCCATGGAGAATCGGAAATCTCGTCTTTACAGAACAGTGCAAACGTTGCATATAAACTCCTATCATGGCATTATATAAATTTTACTATCAGACCGATTCGAGGAATGGTTGTCATTCATACTTGTCCCGATATCAATTTCAACCAAAATAATCACTACCGCCTTATATAATATTTTACAACTGACAGTTTCCCATGTCCCTTTGAAAGATTAAGTCATAAAAATACCGCGGTTTCGCTACGTTTAGCAAGCATGCTTAACTACATATATCATAGTATAGCGTCATTTTGAGACTATAATCTCACTTGCAAGGAATTGTTTTCAATCTTAAACTTTTATACATTTTCTCAGTAAGCAGGCTCTGTTGAAAAATTGTTTATTAACCTGGTAAAATGTAAAATATAAAATGTAAAATACTGCAAAGTAGTGACAGGTAGTTTCGAATCGGTCTATGATATATTGACTCAAAACAGAAATTTAAAAACCTACTTAATTTTGGCCACCATGTTTTTATCTGCTTTAGCCCAACTCTGCCGTCTTCCCATGACGTAAAATGTACAACAAAGAAAGAAGATATTTACCTGCAACAAAATATGAAGTTACCTCTTAATATCATGTTACCTTTACTAAACAATTTTACTAAGAGCATTTCACACCGCTATCTCACCCACATCCTCTTAATAGTCCACAAAGACCATCCCTCAATGAATCAGTGTGAAAACATGAGAATACTTAGCAGATGGAGAAAACTTGGAGATGTTTGGTACAGTCAAACTGGACGTAATACGATTCACACTGCGATAATTGGATGTCAGGACCGCTCACGTTGGTCAAATTTAGCAAAATTTCTCCCATTCGTGCGGGCTCGTATTGTCAGCGGACATCTTGCAGAAATCCTAAGGACCTTTTGTCACTTTGGGCCCCTCTTTTGAGCTGGGGACCTGGGGAAAAATGCTTCTGCCCCCACCCTTTCTCTTGGCGACCCTAAACAAAGGCACTACGTCTATACATGCTTCGAGATGCACATGTACAGTCAGCTCTTACAGCTACAACGCGCAAAGAGTAGGAGTTTAGATATTAAGCGAGTCATGTATGAGTGAGCAGAATAGTTTAAAACAAATTGAGCTATATTCACCCAGAATAAAGGTTCTGAAAATATAATGAAACTTACCAATATTATCGCAAGAGCTGGGCCGACAAAGCCCCATATCATGCCATGAGTGACTGAAAGCCAACAGCTACAAAATTAAAAATATTATGACATACTTGTGCCTTTACAAAAACATGTCACTGATATCGTTTTGTGTCACTGATATCGCTTTTTGTCCAGCTATTTTAATAATTGGGGCGTTGGGGCAATGATTAATATTCTAGACGCGAATTCAGTTTCATCGCTTTCAGAACGATATCATAACGATAGTGTCCCTCGCTCAAGCGTTAAAACTGATATTGTCTTGCCTTTCAGTACACCTACAGTAATATAGATTCTACAGAGCCATAATGATACTCGAGTCAATTTATGAAAATGAAAGCATATCTTACTATTTTTCATGGAGGTAATATTCATGGCCCACAACCAAAGCAATACAAACAATTGCAGCTGGTGTTCCTAAAATGAAAGAGTTACGTTTTGTAAAAAAAACAGCTTTGAAGCAGGGGCGGATCTAGGATTTTTCGTACGTTAGTCAAAAATTTCGTTGCTGAACATTGGGAGAGGGGGTACTTTTTAATGGCGGAAGGGGTACTTTTGACTGGGGTCGGAGGGGGGGGGGAGGGGGGTTGCGAAGCAAATTAATATTTTTTATATGTGTTCTGTTTACGAAAAAATGTAACTTAAGAAATTGCTTTTTCGGCAAATGTCAGACAGATATCCTATTCTCATCGAGAAATAGATTGACAAGGATGACTTGAAGTTTTAAAAATTGTTATTTAATCGCATATTTTTTCATTTGACATGGATGGTAAAAAAAATCCAATATCGTGATGCAGTTTAAAACATTTGATTGATTGTTAAGCAGGAAGAGAATTTCCACGTTTAATTCACTGCTCCTCGAGTTTCATTCGTAGCAGAAACATGCGCCATAAATAAGTATTCACAATGGCAACATGATCCGTTTTACTTGTTGTGTACATGTTGTAGAGATCGTATTACACAAGGCCATGTGTTATTAAGTAGCGATCTGATTAATATATAAAGTCTACATGTCACAAAATACATAAACAAAGTATAAACACACTGAAACTGCCTGTATGAAGCCGCAGTATTTATATAAATTGACGGAAATATTATGTAAATTTCGTCTCGTATTATTATACGTCTTATACGCGTACCCGCCGATATTTATATAGCATGCATGTGCATACAGACGCACATGCGGGCGGTCGTACTAATCTGACATGGCGGGCGGCCGTACTAATCTGAGCTCTGTAAATTGTTATAAAAATAATCTAAATGAATGGAAGTTTGAGCAAATATACAATCATAAAGATTGCTCAAACCTAACGTATGATAGAAAGCGTATAAAGTGGTCTGGAAGCTTTGACATGCTGCAAAGTTTCGTTGAATGTGGTCTTAAATTACATGGCAATTGGTCGTCGCCGGGTGGTAATGCAAAAAAGTTTACGTGCCTCAATTCGGACTTAACCATTACTTGGTATGCCAGAAAACAAAATACACTTGTGCTTCACGGCGATGCAAGTTTGGCTCTAGCAAATACGTTGATTACAGTGTGTGGGGCACGAACTACATCAAATGAGTTCACGGTGAAACCGAATGCAGTTGAGGATGGCGAATTATCGGATAATATTTGTATGCCGACAATAAGTAGTGTCATAGAGCAAAGGCATAACAACAATACTAACGCGGTTACTGCTGATTCGATTGTCGATATGTCTACAGAAATACCTAATCAGTCTTTCAAGAGTGATGTACATTCAGAAAAGCTTAAGGTCAGATCAAATTCATTCCCTTGTAATGTAGTGCATGATTTCGAGCACGGTTGTCAATGTAGGCTGCTGGCAGCAGACCTTGAAGAGGTTAAGCTTGATATGGTGATCATGCAAAGAAATATGGAGTCTAAGATTTTTGCAATCGAAAAGTCGCGGGAGAGCGAAGAAATTAACCAACTTCAAAAGGAACTATCTAATGAAAGGGAAAAATGTAAAAACCTTGAAGCTGATATATCAATTTTAATCCGAGGAAGAAAAAGAGAAGGAAACGAATTGAATAACACCATTGTCTCTCTTGAAAATAGACTTAAGTCAAGTGAGGCGATGAATGAATCTTTGAGACAATCGACTATGCAAATAAAAAATCACGTTATAATTGATGAAACAAGCATAACATCAATAGTCCATAACATTGATAATCCCCTTGGGAGCTCAAGTTTCTCTGGTGTATTTAATTCGGACGATCAGCCAGATGACCTTCCGTTATGCATTAAAAATTTCACTACAATTGATGAAGCCAGCATAACACCAGAGGCTCACTGTATTGATAACACCCTTGGGAGCCAGTCAAACGACTTTCTGTCAAGCTTTGAAAATTTCACTGTAGCTGATGAGGTTAACATAGCCATTGACCGGACGGATAGTTCGCTGAATACATCCTCATCGTTCAAGAAACAGCTAAAGAAATACCGAGAGAAACAGTCTCTTGCGTTTCCCAATAGATCACACAATTGGATGAAACCTGTCCCTACAAACTCCCAAACAACAGAATTAAATACTTTCAATACAAACGAGAGAAACCAGCATTTATCAAGGAATACAGTCCGTAGTCGCAAAAACTTCAAAAGTAAACAAACTAAACCGAAGCGGAATTTTCGGAAGAAACTATCTCTAGATCGACCTCCGGACTGGGAGAATTACCTAGACCTAGTCAGCAAAATTACGAGAACATAATTAATGCGGCTAACACGAACTTAAATGGTTCCAATTGTATGTCTCAGTCAGCTTGTCGTAGTAATAAAATTCCTGTGAGAATTACAAGACGAAAAAAACATGCTCGTATGATACCTCACCAGCGTGATCGTGTTCTGAAATTTGTACAAATCGATAAAACAGCTTTAAATTTACCACGTATAATTCCGCGTTGTCTAGTGTTAAACGCTAGATCCCTAGTAAAACCTGATGCCCTTCCCGCTTTGTATGCGGATCTGAAGTGTAATGACATTGACATATGCTGTATCTCTGAAACATGGCTGAAACCAATTATACCTGATCATCTTGTCTTAAGGCCTTACAAAAGATTTTTGTCTTCTCTCGAACGTACTTCAGGATGTAAGATTCCGCACCAAAATTGCGTGTGAGGAAGGCTGCTTATGTTATTCACAACGCTCAATAAAGTTTAATAGAAAGCTTCGGTACACCGTTATCGCTCGTTTAAATCAGCTTCAATATCTTTGACATTTTGTCGATCGTTATTCTCTTAAGCAGCCTTTACAGTTTCGTAAATACTAACAGATATGGCTCGTATTAGTTCAGAATTTCTGATAGTAAATCTTCCCATTGAACTTTAATAATTGGCGGTCAAGCACAATTAAGTAGCGATCAGAAAGGGCTAGAAACGTCATAGACCTTTCCGTGCACTAATGAAGCCTGAACGGTATGATCGATCAAAAAAATCCAGCCAATGGGAATTCAGGATTGTTTTGAATTAGCCAATCGGATAGCCTGTATTCGAGCCCCTGATCGCTTTAGCGATCAGAACTCCCACAGATCGCGCAAAAATCGAGATAGCCAATCAGATGGCTGGAATCTGACGCAGAGCGTGCAAAACTCATGCGTAAGACCGCTTTTCTGCGCGTTCATGTTCGAAGGCCTTGCTACTGAATGATATTTCAAAACTGGACTGTTAAACTTTCAATACATTACACTGCGCGAAGTTTGATAACTGGACTGCTATTTTAATTTAACAATTTTCCACTTTTCTGGCCAATTTTTACCTTAGTCGCGTGATCGCTCTGATCACCCCTAGATCCGCCCCTGCTTTGAAGAGAGAGCATGCAGGCATTAAATAAACGTGTGTGATAAGTTTTATTTAAATTAAATTAAAGGAAATAGCAATCATAATTAAGTTTTCCCATTTGGAAGAGTGATTCAATAAATTTCAAAATCTTATTACAGATTTTCTATATCGTTCTTGGTAAACAGCTGTATCAAAAAAGGTTGTCCTTCAAAAATCTCAAACCTTAAACCCTAAGCGTGCAAGGTGTGACGGGTAACTTCTAACTTAAGGCCTAAAACGTTGCAACTATGGCAAGAGAGATAATAAGCACTTATTTATTTATTTAATTAATTTATTGAGCAGTCTACATACGTACTATATCAGGTACAAAGATAAAAACTTGACAAACGAAAGACAAAACACACGTCACAAATCACAAATTAGTAGATACACTCTGAAACGGAAAAGCACAAACGGGACACTAAAAATCCCATGCGAGGTGCTCCCCATAATTAGTTTAGATATAGTTAATTAAATATACACACACATATATATTACTTGTGGTATTAAGTCCTGTGGCAAGGACAGTCACGAGTTAATGACCACGTACAAGCCATGTCTACATCATAAACATTACTAATTAATGTAGAGTATCTACGTTTAAGATAGTGTTTAAACGAGTTTGGATTACGGAAAATGTCAGGTGCGACTTCTTGGCACACTGCGTTCCAAATCTTTACAACACGATTGTAGTATGAAGACTGGAAAGTGTTTTACAGAGTTTACTTTGAAGGATATATCTTGACGTATGGTTCAGTCTAGTACGACCATGACTCACAAACGACACA